AAAAAAAAAAAAAAAAAAAAAAAAAAAAAAAAAAAAAAAAAAAAAAAAAAAAAAATTGGTGGGGGGTTTCAAAAAATTAAAACATCCTTAATTTTGCATGGACTGTACATGTATGTGCAATGAACGCATGGTTTTCATCCAATCTAAGCAAGTATAACAAGCCAATCGTATGGCAGTTTGTGATTTATGTGAAAAAATGTCGGTAACTTTTGCAAATAATTTTTAGGGAAAAGCGGAGGTCAAATTCGGATTCAGCGCATCAAAATCATGAGGAAAACACATCTTAAATGTATTTATACTCAAACGGAGAGCCGCTATGATTTTTGATCACTGAAGAGTGAATTGGGACCATAGTGCGCCGTCTCGCTCGACGTAATCGCGCAAGTTAATCTCGCCGCTGATAAGGTCCCAGGGCCTTGTCCGACGAAACTAAGGCCCCTCACACCTTAGCGGGCGTCGACCCACCCCCACTCCGCATCTGGACATGTGCATTTAAAACAGGAGGTTTTATTCCGTTCACCAGTTTTCCTCGAGTTAAACATACAAAAATAGAAGGTTTTGGAACTTCGGACGGATTTTCCAATTGTTGGAGGAACAGGTGGACCCATCTCTGCTAGCGATGCGCTCCAGTCATGTTCGGAGCCGGTCTGGCAATTTGAGATACAGCGTCGCAAAAGTTTTCCTAGCCCAAAAACAATTCGGATTCATTAATCACTTTTCAGTGAAATTATTTAATCTTCGTTCCAGAGGAATGGTTGCTGGATGGATCAGGGGACCCATCTCAACGGTTAGCAAAGCGCTCCAGTCTGTCGTGAGTCAGTCTAGTCGAGATAAAGTGTCTTAATGTCCTGGACCGGAAAACAATCAACACTTTGGTGAAGTTACAACAAACTCAATCAAAACGGATATTTTTATCTGAGTTATTATTCTAAGTCTGTCTAAATTTCCTTTTTTCCTTCTAAGTTACATTGACATGCTCAATACTCATAACGGCTTTATGCTGAGTTATTCTTTTCTTTCAGACCTTCAGTCCATTAAAAATATTTACATTAAGGATGGTAAATCCCCCCTCTCTCCTGAGCGTGAATGGAGGTGCGTGCGGGCTGATCGTTGTGGGCTTGACCTACATCTTTTGATGATAGTGAGAGTCAATTTTTTCAGTCAGGAGAAAAGATCGGTGGGCATTCCAAATCAGGCTTCTAAGCCACTTGCCATTAAACTTAGCCCCGGACTGGGGAGGGAGAAGGGAGCAGGCTTTTCTTGGGGGTTTTTCTTCTGGGGATTTTTCTGGACCATCTGTAAATGAGTCAAAATTTCTTTTATTCACTTTGAATTTTACCTCTTGTTTTTTAAACAAAGTTATTCTTTAGACATTGCCTTCTGCAATGCCTTATTTTGTCACAACGTCTGTAAAGATAGGTTAAGGTGTATATGTCTCAAGGCAACCAACTTTTAATAGATTGTACTGAGGCCTTAGGGTCGGGGTCCTGCGCCCCCCCCCCCCCGGTTCCACCTTGTTAATGTCTTTCTAATAAACTTCCCTCATTTGAGGATTAAAAAAAAATTTGATAATCAAAGGACGATTTAAAAAAACTGCATTGAACTTGTGCCATGATTAGTTAGAAGAGAGGGAAACATAGAGATTTTGTGCATAATTTTGGCTTTTTTCCAATAGTGTTTAATTTTTCTTATGGATTCTTGGATCCATACGTTACTTTTTATAGTTTCTCTTCTTATTATCACTGTTAGAAAAATTTTTTTGTTGAGCTTGAAAAATTCTCAGGAATTATGAAAGGAGTGTTGCCGCTTCTAGAAACAATAAGTCATTATTAAGCCCTCATGCCAAAAAATGATTCTCCTGGCAGATCTTAGGAGGTGGTCCCCCTAGAACTTTCCTGCAGGCGGTTATAAGCAGCCGCTCAGTGTTACGCATGCTCATCAAAACCATTCCGTTTACAAGACTGACACGTCTTCCATGATATATGACGTATATCCATATACATGGTCATGGTTTTATTAGAGACCCATGAATTTCGGAGATGATCTTTTTCAAATTGCTTTCAAATCCATAATTTTGATGTGAGCAAGTACAAACTACATATATGTGGGTATCTCAGGATACAAGGAATCAGATAATCTGTTCTCCGGAAAAACCCTGTACAGCCTAGCCCTGTACAGCCATATGAACTTATTTAACCCTAGTCTGCCCCCACGGGAGTTTCAACTCTTTGCCATTTCTCGTGGTATGGACGAAATTTTTTGTCCTTCACAAATAGCTCTACAAAAACATCTAGGAACACGATTTTGAAGGAAAAATAATAATAAAAAAAATGTGCATGAGAGATCAAAAAATTCACGAGTACCCCCAGAAAGCCTGAGCGGGGTCAGATATCCTTATAACATATATTTTACCATTTAGCATCACAAAAGCTTACTTTGAAGGTGTATTCATTTTTCTCTTTTTAATTTTTTTCAGAAACTTATAAAACAAGCAAAATTTTTCAGATTTTTTTCGTTTTCAGTATTAAGTAGCCCTATGATCTTTTTTTCTCATGCTGAGAACAACATGGCAACATGTGTATGATAAAATGGTTGCATACCCTGCGCCGTGTTTTTTAAAACTTAGATATGCTTTATGGTGAAGGCCTGTAAGGTTAGTGCACTGATATTAACTAAAAACATGAAAAAAACGTAGGTAACTAATTGATTTTCAGCTGGGGTCAAATTGACCCCACTCAGGCTTTCTCGTTGGTTCAGAGGCTCAGGCAGACTAGGGTTAAAGGAATTACCCGATTGAAAGAGAGCTGATTCACAACAGAAATTAAAAAAATATTTTTCAAAGTAAGTTAAAAGGAAGGAAGAGTAATAACTGAAAAATCACAAGGAATTACAATCTGCAAAAGTGCTTTAAGCATAAAACAAGCACACAAAGCTGCAAGCTCAGAGATGGGCGAAAATTATTCGGCAATTATTTGGTCAACTAACAACTTCGATCAATCATCTCAATTGGACGAATAATTGACGACAAGACGTCTTATAAAGTAGAGAACTCTGTGGACGAAACATCTAATTAGAGGACCGAGCATCTAATTAGTGTTGCCAAACTAATTTCAGTAATTGCCGAATTATTTGCGCTTAACTTTATGCAAGCTTCTATAGAGAAAAAGTTGTGAACACAAATCTGCGAGGAATAGGTGCAGTCAGGGTTGGTTCCGTATGACTAAATCGGGGCCAGCCTAAGACTCTGGAGAGAGGGGAGAGGGGCATGATCAAATACATCCCTTTCCCCTTGCCTACAGCATAATACTTGTGTAAAAAACATTCCACAGTGCCAGAGCTTTGAAATTTGCAAACATATGGTTCTTGCCGCACATGGGTCTAGAATGCAGATGGAATGTGTCCTATTCCAGCAAGGTGACGATTTGGTTAGAAGTCATAAAAAACCCCGAGACTTCATGAGACCCTCGCCTCGTCTTCAACAAGTTTTGTATCATCCACACGTGCCAAAAAATTAAAAATCGGATAGAAACTGAAATATTTATGCCTTATTGTGACATTGGTACTTATCCTTTAAATCGTATAAAAAGAAATTGAGTAACAATCCCCTTAATCCTTCTCCCCCTAGACGTTATGTATCATGAACAATCCTAAAAGATGGCAGATGTAAATCGAAATTAGGTCTGATTACTGTAAACCTTTGACACATTTTATTCTACCAGTCACTAGGAGCTTACCACAGGAATTCCAGCGGCCATGGTTCGGTTTAGAGTGTCCATTGTAACTTGTAATGAGGATTGGCCGTACCTGGTGGAGGAAGTAATCACAAAGAAAATCATCAAATTAATAACACAGGTCTGCAAAAAAAAAATTTCCTTTTTTTAAATAGAGGCACTTGGATTTGATAGAGGATTCCCCTATGATTTTAGGTAAGTTCTTTTTTCCCCGGTAAGTTAGAACCCCTGAAAAGTGAGAAAATAATGGAAATCACTTCATGGAGGCCATCTTGGAAAATGGCGGCCACCAGAGACCTAGAGGGATCCAGTTTGGGTCCCAACTGATTTTCATTCTAGGTACCCAAAACTACATTTTCATCAAGTCTCATGCTGGTAACCTAAAACGTGCTACCAAAGTGCTTTTGATCCTAGGTGACCCCACTGGCTCGGAACATGAATGAGCCTGAAAAATAAATTTTAGACAAATTGTGGTGACTTACTTGCACATATGAAAACCCAAACTCCAATATGGAGGCATAAACGGATATCCAATTAGGTCAAAGTACTGTTTGGTCACATCAGCAGGTGATGGGCCGACAAAAAAATAAAAGTCTAAGACTCCTCCTAAAACTCTGTAAGTGATAGCAGGTGCAGGCTGTAGAATTATTTCTGCAATGGGAGAAATAAAAAAATGTACATGATAGTCCGTTAGAATGGTAAAAAATTAAAGATCAACTCCATTGGTCAGTTCTCTAATTTCACATCAAAACTGTGTATCTGCCATTTTACAGTTACTTATTTTTCGTTATTTTTATTTCTTAATGGTGGAAAGAACTATGTTTTAACGATTTCAAGCTTTATCAGTGAAGTAAAATATAATTGTTCACTCATCTAGGTGGTAATGGTGGTCTCAATAGATAAAAAAATGTCTCCTATACACAGACAAAAAATTAGGTAGTTGTTATTAAAGGTGCTATTGATGATATCCCCTTATTAGTAATAATTCTATATGATTTGGAATTTTTATACATTAGGTTAGGTATATATGTAGAATAATCCTGAAGAACATATTCCATGATCAATTATAATAGATAAACTTCCTAATATGCCTTTTGCTTTGTTAAGAACAATCTGAACGGAAACAACCAATCTAACAATCTAAAGTCATATGTACTACCGAGGAAAAGGCGATTAATATTTTCATATCTGTTTGCATTAAACCTATTATTCTTATTATTAAAGATGTTCATATTCCAAAAGCTATTTATATTCACCTTAAGTTAATATCTTAACTTGACTTGCTTAAGGTGAGCAGAATAATATATTTTCCTCTCCATAAAATTTAAATGAACTAACTTGTCTGGGGTCAATAGAATAAAATATATTCCTTTCCATAGAAGGACCCTGCACACCTCTTATGGGAAGCTGCACCATGAAGAAACCTTAATTTTTTTATGGCATTGGATTCTTCTCAAGATGCTGATCTGAAGTCATCATAGCGCCAACTTTCTACGATGCATCGTTTTCGCAAAAAACCTAAGAGAAGATTCAATTATTTGACGACAATGACTAAAAAAGAAGAAAGTATTCGAGAACAGGCCCGATGTAAATAAGGAAAAAACGTAGCACGTGTCCGTCTACTAATCTATACCTGTCGACTCTGGGGCTATCTCCCTCCCGCTCTCGTCCGGTTGACGTTCCGACTTTCCTGTTCTTATGCTCCTCAAGAATCTGATTTGGATGGTCGAGCAAAACGGCGTGCGGAATCCGAGATAAGACTGCCGGTCGGTGCGGGAGTTCCCCTGATTTTCTGGTTGTCACACAGCACTCGAGTGCTGAAATGAGGGGTCTTTCTGGCTTTTTATCGCCGAATAATTGAATCTTCTCGGCCGTTTTTGCAAAAACTGTGCATCGTAGAAAGTTGGGGCAATAATAACTTTCCATTAGCATCTTGATGAGAATCGAATGCCATAAAAAAAGCAAAAGAAGAACGCTTTCCAGCCACAGTGGAAACGAAAGGTAGATTTCGACTAATCATTTCTATGAAAACAGTTGCGGCTAATGAGCCTGACAGGTTGGAAAATTGTCCCCCTTGAACTTGAGATTTTCAGGATAAAGGGCAGTTTTAGATGGTAGGTGAATATAGGTTGTTTTGAAGGCCATGACGAGACGAGTGTTTTGAGGTACCACCGACTAAGATCGGACGAGTTTGAAAAATCCTCCCCCTTTGAACTTGGGATTTTCCGAATACGGGTTGGTTTTAGAGGGTAGGTGAATATAGGTTGTTTTGAAGGTCACGATGAGACGAGTTTCTTATCGGACGGGTTCGAAAAATCATCTCCCAGTGACCTTGACGTTACTGAACTAAGAGATGGGTCGATTTACACGAAAAAGGAAACTTGATGTAGACCTCATAACGGTGAAGAGCTATCGTTTGTGTCGTTTTGATCGTATCGATAGTTCCGAAAAAAAGCGGTCGCAGAATTCACACACACACACACACACACACACCCTCACACACACACACACACACACACACACAAACACACCCTCAGTCCTGTACGACAATAGTTGTGGGGCCACTGGATTTGTGTGTTGTTGTAAAACTAACCTAACCTAACGATATTTTGACCGAAACAGCCTAACCTAACCAGCCTAACCTAATTCAACCTAACCTAACCTGACCTGACCTATCAGGCTTTTTTATAGCCGATAAATGCCACTTTCTGTCACGATTTTGGTTGTGGGGCCACGGAAAATGACCCCACAAGGATAAGGTGTCCCTACAAGGTGGAACAGAAGCGTGTGTGCAGACCCCATAACCATTGCCATACAATCCCACCCTCACAGCGCGTACGCACACACACACACCCTCACACATACCGGGTGTCCGTAAAGTAACTGAAAAGTGGGTATAATTTTTGAACAAAAAAAGATAGGAGGTCGCGGTTTGTGGCATTCTTCATCATCCAGAGGGGGAAATTTTTCGATGGGGGGTTTTTCTTGGTGGACCCTCCTGGGGGGCCCCAAGGGAGGGCAACTTTCAAAATTCAAATAGCAACCCCCATTTTTTTAGACATGGTTAAAAAGAACTTAAAAAGACAAGAAAAATGACGCAAATAAAATTAAAATCGGTTCACTCGTTCAAAAGTTACAGCCGGTCAAAATTTTAAATTGACCACTTTTCAAAAAATCACCGTTGAGCTCCAAATTACCGAAAAAACAAAAACAAACCTGGAATGAAAAGTTTGAAAACTGCCCTTTAAGGCAAGGAAAAACAACTGACGTTGTCACAAGTTTGGATGGCATTGTTTCAAAATAAAATTTCGGAAAATTCAACATGGCGGCAAATTTGAGGAAACGCGAATAATGAAAATTCCAGAAACTGTTATCTTTCAAATACCCTCTAGTCTAAGGAAATCAATGGTATCAACTTTTTTTCCTTTATTTGGCCAAGTAAGAGCGATAATTTGCTGACTTTAAAGTTGTCAAGCGGGACGCCTTCAATCCTTGGAGTATGCGACATCACATGCACAGGATTAAGTGTGCTGTCAAAAAATGAAGCCGATGTGAAAAAGCGCTCCTCCTTTGGGATGCTTTAGTAATGTTCAAGGTCCTCATCCTCAGAAAAGAAGAAAAGAAAAATTGAGCAATTTTTTTATTATTATTATTTTTTAAAGTGGAAGTTCTTATACTTGATGTTCTGTTATTCCGTCAAATGTTCAAAGTTATCTTCATTTTGCTGCAAACAATAGTACTGCAAACAATTTACAATAGTAATTGGCAACTAAATCAGAACGCAGTATGATCAAGAGAACTTAGCATACTGATTTCAGATTCGTAAATAGTGTTACCGATCAGATATTGCATCAGATATTACCTAAAATATCGGTTCCTCAAATCGTGAGGTTGAGGCTGTCAATAAGATAATCTCAACTCAGATAATAATCAAGAGTAGAACGGCGTTTTCGGAATTGAAAGCGTAGCAGATATCCTTCTTGCCAACTTGGAGTGCCAGGGATTAGAGAATCACAATTATTCTTGCGTTTTCAATTTTCAGATAGAGAAATGTCAAAAATGTCAACCGCCCCTACCCCATCAGGATATACCATGTTTTTACCCACAAACTAGGTGAGCCCAAAAAAACATGGTATATCCTGATGGGGTAGGGGCGGTTGACATTTTGGACATTTCGCTATCTGAAAATTGAAAACGCAAGAATAATTGTGATTCTCTAATCCCTGGCACTCCAAGTTGGCAAGAAGGATATCTGCTACGCTTTCAATTCCGAAAACGCCGTTCTACTCTTGATTATTATCTGAGTTGAGATTATCTTATTGACAGCCTCAACCTCACGATTTGAGGAACCGATATTTTAGGTAATATCTGATGCAATATCTGATCGGTAACACTATTTACGAATCTGAAATCAGTATGCTAAGTTCTCTTGATCATACTGCGTTCTGATTTAGTTGCCAATTACTATTGTAAATTGTTTGCAGTACTATTGTTTGCAGCAAAATGAAGATAACTTTGAACATTTGACGGAATAACAGAACATCAAGTATAAGAACTTCCACTTTAAAAAATAATAATAATAAAAAAATTGCTCAATTTTTCTTTTCTTCTTTTCTGAGGATGAGGACCTTGAACATTACTAAAGCATCCCAAAGGAGGAGCGCTTTTTCACATCGGCTTCATTTTTTGACAGCACACTTAATCCTGTGCATGTGATGTCGCATACTCCAAGGATTGAAGGCGTCCCGCTTGACAACTTTAAAGTCAGCAAATTATCGCTCTTACTTGGCCAAATAAAGGAAAAAAAGTTGATACCATTGATTTCCTTAGACTAGAGGGTATTTGAAAGATAACAGTTTCTGGAATTTTCATTATTCGCGTTTCCTCAAATTTGCCGCCATGTTGAATTTTCCGAAATTTTATTTTGAAACAATGCCATCCAAACTTGTGACAACGTCAGTTGTTTTTCCTTGCCTTAAAGGGCAGTTTTCAAACTTTTCATTCCAGGTTTGTTTTTGTTTTTTCGGTAATTTGGAGCTCAACGGTGATTTTTTGAAAAGTGGTCAATTTAAAATTTTGACCGGCTGTAACTTTTGAACGAGTGAACCGATTTTAATTTTATTTGCGTCATTTTTCTTGTCTTTTTAAGTTCTTTTTAACCATGTCTAAAAAAATGGGGGTTGCTATTTGAATTTTGAAAGTTGCCCCCCCCCTTGGGGCCCCCCTGGGGGGTCCACCAAGAAAAACCCCCCATCGAAAAATTTCCCCCTCTGGATGATGAAGAATGCCACAAACCGCGACCTTCTATCTTTTCTTGTTTAAAAATTATACCCTTTTTTCAGTTACTTTGCGGACACCCGATATATATATATATATAACTTACATTTTGCCACTCAGGGCTTTAGGATCGATGCTCTTTGGGCGAAAATTTCGAGGTCGTACCGTCTGCAATAGGTAGATATTTCTTCGAAATCTACCTAATTAAGGTTTCTTCATGGTGCAGCTTCCCATAAGCGGTGTGCGGGGTCCTATCAATGGACTAGGAATCAAGCTTGAAGCAAAATATTTTGTATTTTCTGTGCTTGTGTTCTTATTAGTGTGTCTATTAGTGTTCCCTCACACATCAAACCATAATGATTTCTTTTCCTCCATTTTATTTTGCACATTATAATATTTTATTTTATCTGTTTATTTCCTTCTTTTTTTAAATTTTTTTTGTAACAGCCATGCGAAGATGTTGAACTAAATTTTGAGTTACAGTAGAATGTTGAAGAGAATGTTCTTTTAGAAAAAAGTCAGACTTCCAACCATTAATTACGATAATGAGTAAACTTAGCTGGGTATTGAAGATCTTCCATTAACATAGCAAGGAAAGGTATTCATTAGTGAGAGAATCCTTTAATTATGAATCAGTCTTACCCATTGGATGAGAATTTTTCAAAAACACTCCGTGACTTTGCCCTCCATTAGCAACATTCAAGAGAAAAGGATGAGATCCATATCCGTTTATCTGAAACAAATTTACAATTATAGAAAATATCCGTAAATGCCATAGTAGATTTTCATGATTTTGTATTTTAGCATCAATAGGCCTAATAAAATAATATCATTAAAAAGTCTAGTGGTCAGATCTTCTGGCCATAAGGTATTGTCAACGTATTTAATGGAAGAACTAGCCATCAATTGTTTAGCTAGTATTTCAGGATGCTCTTGAAACCTTTGAGGTATCCGCTCCTCTTTGGGAAATAATAAAGTTACATGGAATGATGAGGTTCAGCCTTGGTATTGAGGTGTTAGTTAATTTGAATTTAATTTATTTTCGTTTTAGTACAGAGGTATATACAAAGCTTATAGACAAATATGTAACAAAAAAAAAAACAACAAGAAACGAAAATAAAACACCCACTAATGATGCTTGGCCATTGAGTCGGGTGGAGCCTCTTTGTTTGATTTTATTTTCTTTTGTTTCATTATCCCCTTTTTTCGTCCCTTTTTCTCTTTCTTTTTGTTTTTTTTCCCACTTCCCCCTCGCTTATCTCTTGCGGAAGAAATTAAATTGCTGATTTAACAATTTTGTAGTCAAAACAAAAGTCCAAGATGTTTCAATGTAGATTTTACAACACAAAAAATGCCAATATAATCACCCTCATGGTTAAATAAGCTTTCCACTAGTGTAAAATGGACATTTGAAACATGTCGGACATATTTTTTAACAATTCAATTGTTAAGTCAGCAATCCATTTTTTAACGTGCTTCCCTATTGTTCATTTTCTGAACATAGTTCATTCATTATATGGGCTTTCAAGTGGCAGGCTATTTTTGAGAATGGCACCGTACCTATAATAAGTTCCTTTAGTTGTTTTGGTAACTTCTTATATTCCTTTATTCCTGAGTTCAAGATGTTCTTATATGTCAATTCTAATTTACATTTTCCTGTTTTTAGTAACATGTAAGTATGTCCCTTGTGGGGTACTTTGGAAATTCAAATATTAGGCAATTTCAATTCTTGGAAAGGTATTTTAAAGTTTCCAGTTTCCATATATTCTCCAATTTTAGAAATATTATAAAGCAGCCTTTTTATGCTATGTCCTGGCGGATTTTTCTTAACAATTGTAGTAGCTAAGCTGCTGTAAAATTTCTTCTACTTGACGCTGGTTGGCTGCTGCATTGACCACTGAGCAAACAACTCGCCTGCAACTGCTGAGATATATATAGCCACCACCTTGATCCCAGATCACTGAGGTCATAGAGAAAAAAAGGAGACCTAAAAGGAAATATTTTGAGGATTCACTTTCCCCAAGACCTGAATTTGCCCTTGAAATTTCAATCATATTTTTGTTGCTCCAACATTTGTTCTTCAACCATGTTCGCGATTCACGATTACCGCACTTCTTTAATGCGCCATCTGGGTACAAAGGCACCATTCATTGGACCGCAGATTTATCTACCCTTCTAATTTTCTCATCATTTCACCGCTTGTTCAGGGTGTCTACAGACTTGGAGACAAAAAATTCCCTGATTTTTTACATCGACAATTCGAGGCGTACAACTGAAAATGAACAATTTTTTACCTTATTTCACTGTTTATATTGTAATCATGCAAACCTTTTTTCCTCTGGTATTTATCATCCAAGCATCTAAAATTACAATGCTGAATTAGACTCGTTCTCTGTTTACTATTTTTAGAGGACCGTTAAGCCCTGAACCAGAGCGAAGCTCACAGTCAGTTTGATTGGATAGGTTGCGCTGATAATATTTACAAACAAAAAACTAAGAGTTTAATAGTTGAGGAGCTTGCAACTGACCACCGACCTCTCCGCCAACGAATGAGAGGCATTTTTATTAGTTTCCTTTGTAAATTTAACCCATTTAAGAAGTTATTTGTCTTAAAGGGGACGGCAACCTTAAAAACAAGTTTGGCTAAATCGACAAAGAAAAGTGTGCAATGCACGATACTGGAATCCGTTTGCGAATATCTGCATTCGCTGAGCCACTATCGCGAAAAAACAGCTGAGCGCGTGACGTCATGAGCTCAGTCTCACATTTCGCAGTCTGCACTCTGCATACGATCTCCGTAGTCAAGTGGCCGACGCAGGTTCGCGACAAGTTATTAGTTCGCCCCGATCTCGATCGTTCCTGGCCGACTCATTTTTCTTTGCTTAGGTGTGACTATTTAGGCGACTTCGCGGCGCTAGACAACGAACGCGCCAGACTCCGAGTTGTGTGCGTGTGAACCGCAGTCCAGGGTGACTACTAAAACAGGCTGGTCAAAAATACGTACTTTTACAGTACTTTTTCAGTACGTTCTCAAGAAATTCAGTACCTCTTCCAACATAAATATTCCGTACTTTTTCAGTACCTCCATTCGACGAAATTAGAAAAATTTCAAAAATTTAAATTTGCGACGAAAATGACGAAAAATTAGACAAAAATTCCGGACTTTTTTGCGGAATTTCCGCACTTTTTCAACACTTCCGGACCGCCCTTAATAAATCAGTACTGTTTCCGGACTTTTCCGAGATTCCGGACTTGCAGACACCCTGGCAGTCGCACCATGAGCGCATAACGTCATCAGTCAGACATACAATCTTTCATATCTCTGCCGATTTTACGAATTTTTCATTTGAGACGGATCAATTTTGCTTCTTATACCTTCCTGCTTCAGTTTTTAATACTATCTCATTTTCGATTTTAGGGTTGCCGTCCTCTTCAAACTTCAGTACAAACATTATCGTTAATAAAGCTTGGAAGTAAAGAAGGGGTTGTGATTTGAGCCGAAATCGACCCCTCCACGGAATTGGAATTTTTTTTTGGATATTTGAAAGTTGACGATGCATATTTTATAGAAATAGTCGACTTTTGCTGTCTCTCGCATTTTTTGGCTGCAAAACAGGAGCCTGAACACGGCTCCGGAGCCCAAAATAGCTGAAAAACGCATCTTTCGCGGTTCCACCTCTGATTTTGACCTGCACGTGAAGGTGACGGGTCACGAGCTTCGAATGTGATGTGAGAGACACTCAGACACGTAACATACTGGAATGTGATCAACCGTCGCCTTTGGATCCAAGTTCAAAATCGAACTTTTCTCACTTCTTAGCCCAAAATAGCTGAATATCTATGTTATCCACAGTCCTACCTCAGATTTTGACCTGGGCCCAAAGGTGGAGGATCATCATGAGCCTCGTTTATGATGTGAGAGAAACCTAGGCACGGAACGTACTGGAACATGACCAATTGCCACCCTTAGGCCCATAATAAAAACTGCCGAATATTGCATTCTTTTAATGTTCCACTTCGGATTTTTACCGAGTCTCTAAATATGATTGGGCCCAAAGGCGACGGTTTATCAGATTCTAGTATGTGTTGGGTCTAGGTGTCTCTCACATCATTATCGAAGCTTAAGACCCATCACCTTTGGGCCCAGGTCAAAATCTGAGGTAGGATCGTGGAAACCATGGATTTTCAGCTATTTTGGGCTCCAGAGCCATGAATAGGCCCCTGTTATGCTGTGAGGAAAGTTCGATTTCGAACTTGGGCCCAAAGGCGACGGCTGATCATATTCCAGTACATTACGTGTCTGAGTATCCCTCACATCATATTTGGAGCTCATGACCCGTCACCTTTCGGCGCAGGTCAAAATCCGAGATGGAATCGTAAAAAACGCGTTTTACAGCTATTTTGGGCAGAGACCGCAATAGCTCATATCCGAGTTGCCTCGGCCTCAGGTATCAAGAGGCAACTGTACCGGGAATTCCCTCGGTATTGAAATCTGGACGGGGATCGGAACGCGTATCGCGCTGTCAACCCCTTCGGAGGCGCGAGGGGATGTGAAACGCATGCGGTTAAAATCAGGACCTCGGATCGGTCTCTTAGTCCAGTACCACATGTACAAATAAGAGGTCCCGTGTGCAGCTTCGTGGGTAAAATTGTTGTGCCCTGGTAGCACAGGTCAGATTGAAGATGTTTTTAAAATGTGTCATTGATCCGAAAAAATTTCTTTAAAACATTTCAATGAAACATCTTGAAAACATATCATGTGTCCAGACGGTTTTGAAAAGGTTTCTAAGACAACTCTATGTCACCCCTAAATTTTGTTTCACAGATACGTCCGATAGATGTTTCTCATACCTTTACAACACATCTCAGTGAGGTATCGGCACCACAAATTCGTCGCAGAAATATATCTGACACATTCTTGAAACATTTCGGTGAGGGGCATGACATTCCTTTGTATCGTCGAAACGTTTCAAAAATGTTTTCAAAACCTTTCAGTGGTTTGTTGAAACATCTTGAAAACATATCATGTGTCCCGACGGTTTTGAGAAGGTTTCTAAAACAACTCTATGTCACCCCTAAATTTCGTTTCACAGATACGTCCGATAGATGTCTCTCATACCTTTTCAACACATCTCAGTGAGGTATCGTCACCGAGGCTGTAAGTATCAAAAATTTTCAGACATTTGTTTAAACTAATGTTGCTGTGGAATTAGAACCATCACAGCAGGCATCCCTTGATACCAACCCTGCATGAGGGCTGAATCGTTACACTTCATCATTATCAACCTATCAGAGGGATTAGAACACCTTCACTTTAGAGAAGTATACGCAAAGCACGATGTACGGTTTCAATATTCTAGATAATCCATAACTTTTGAGCTTTTATGGAGATGAACTCGATTCATACAAGGAATTAACCGTGTTAATAACCTCCACATAATTAAATGTCCAAAAAGTATAGCTTGAGACGAAAAATTAAGCTGAAATTTGGTAAAATTGAAAAATTAAACTTCAACGCCCTCTGGTGGATTCAGTTTGAACTAGGTAGGAAAGGTTTTAGAAAGGTCCTAGAAATGTTTCTATGTTATTCAATGAAACATTTCTAAAACGTGTCAAAAACATTTTAAGTGACGTATAAATTCGAACAAAATATTCAAAAAGGTTTCAAAGACATTATATTCATTTTTAATTGAAAACCAATCCAAAATGTGTCAGATAGGTTGCTGGGAGGTG